GAGGAGAAATGAGCCACGTTGGTGAAGAGGGTGAGAATAGTGAGGAAAAATGAAAGGGACAAGATATTATATAAAAATACATGTAGAGATCGAAATAATGAATCATGTTATAGGGCGAGTGTCATGTAAATGATGACGTATGCATTGGTAAGCAAGAAATGAAGGGAAATATTATTAACCACAGGTATCACCGGTGATGTTGAGAGCCCATGTCCCCTAAGCACTTCACATCTTACTTACCCATCCATGCCATGCACATCCTCTCAAATCCATGCATGCATCATGCATCTACTGACCTTGCACCGATACGCACCTCTTCATGTACCAACTTCATCCTCCTTTCACAATCCCATATTTTCAAACCCATACAATTTATAATTATTTACTTGTTTATTTTCCCAAATGCCTTCAATCACAAGATTTGGCAAATGCAGCACTTTATCAATTTATATACAGAGAGCGATGGGTGCATGTAAATACACACACACATATATAATAAAGAGTTTTGATTTTGTGGGCTGAAGAGAGGACATGTGGACATGGGGACAGACAAGATACTTCCTCTGTTTTTATTTATAAAAAAAAAACTATCATATTTAACTTATTTTTTTATAAATAAAATTATATTTTTCAATAAATATTTATTATAAGCTTTTTAAATTATTCCTCATAATTTTATTATTCATAATCATAAAAAATAATTAATAAAAACTTGACTAACACAATTAACAAAGGATGTCATAGTTTAATTTTTTTATTTTTAAATATAATTAATATAATTAATTAATTTTTTAAAATTAATTATATAATTTTTTTATAAATAAAAAACGGAGGGAATAGGTAAGAACGGTGGTGATGTGAGTGTCTGGCAGCGTCATTGGGAGAGGAGAATGGTCCCCTGGCCTCAGAAAACCAAGCATTTCACTTTCTTCTCCCGGTGCCTCCCACTACCTTTCAGATTTAATCATCTTTTCTTTTCTTCACCCTCCCAAATTAACCATGTCTATTGATTTCTTTTATTTTTTATTTCCCTACTTTTATATTGTTGCACTTTTTTTTTTTACATTTTTATATAAACGTGACTTTAAATCAAAATGACTCAACATGTATATAAAGAAAGGGAACAAAATACAAAGTTATAAATTTATTTCTCTCAAAGCAGTGAGCACTGTCCGCATGTCAAGATTTCAGGGCGGAGTCTTACAAAATTCGCGCAATATACTCCCTCTGTTTTCATTTATATTCATTTATTAAAAAAAAACTATGACTTTTATTTTATTTTTTATATAAGTAAAATTATATTTTTTAATAAATATTTATTACAAACTTTCTAAACCACCCCTCATAATTAAATCATTTATAGTTATAGGAAACAATTAATGAAAGGTATTATAGTCTAATTTTTTTATTTTTAAATATAATTAATTTAATGTATCAATTTTTTTAATTATATGATACAGTTTTTTTCTCCTGTAAATAAAAAGGGAGGGATTATTTTGTTATATTGATCGAACCACTTCATGGTCAAGAAAATTCATAATTAAATATCATATATTAGAAGTAGTGAAAGTTGTGGTTCGATGTAGATGTCAAGTTAATCCGACCCTGTCATGCTTGGGTTGTTGTCAACTAAGAAAAGACAAAGTCAGTCTTGTAAAATTGAAGATATAGGTTATTGTTGTTATTATTATTATTTGATGGCTGGCGTAAAACTATGTCTGAATTGAATACCAGAGAGAGAGAAATATAATGTAAGATCCATAACTTCACAGTTCATATCACATAAATAGATGATCCGCTTTATTAATCAATGACTTTAATTTGTAAACTTTTTTGACTATAACTCCGTCAGTTGCGTCTAAACTGGGCAAAGCTCCTTGTGTTTTTTCCTTTTTTATCGGCCAGCAGCAAAGCTCCTTATACTAAACGCATGTGTTTGCATATTAAAAAAAGAGAGAGAGAGAGGGATAACTTAGGGGTTCATCTTGGGCGCTCAGCATCCAAAATAAATCTGGGTCATCCAGAGACTAAATCTGGATGGCCCATATTTTATTAATTTAAATTTAATTTTTTTATTTTTTATTTTATATTTTATAACAAATAAAATTTTAAATTTTTTTAATAAATATACCCATCATTAATTTGGACAGTACTAATTTAATTTGAATAGTTCAACTCAATAATAAAATTTTTATAAATTGAATATCTGGATAATTTTGGATAATACAGATTCAATATTAGAATTTATAATAATTTTTTATTTTAATGAATATAAAATAAAAATAAAAACTTTAAATCTAGAACTTGCGCATGAAAATTTAATATTGAACCTAAATTATCCAGAATATATTTAGATAATCAATTTATAAAATTTATAACATGAAATTCAACCATCAAGATTAAATCAGTATTGTCTATATTGAAGATAAATACTCCCTCCATCCCTATATATAAGAAGTCTGCTAGAACTTTTTTTCATATCTAAATATAAGAGGTTGTTGGCATATTTTTAATGAATAGACTATTATGTACTTATTAAATTGAAAAGAAAAAAAAATAACTACTTTCATTGATTTACTTTAAAAAAAATTTATTTTTTATTTATAATAATTAGAAATAAAATTAAAATATTACTGTACTTTTAATTAAATAATTAATTTTTATTAGTTTGTGTAATTCGATTAAAAATATTTAATATAAAAGCACGGAGGGAGTATACTTATACAAAAAATTTATAAATTTGTATTTTTATAAAATATAAAATCAAAATTAAAATAAAAAAATTGAAATTAAAAAAAATCTGAATGATCCAGATTTTTTTTCCCCTGAATGATGAACAGTTGAACACCTCACTGAGCACCGAAGATGGGTCCGAGAACTTAGAGAGTAAAATTTATGGACCGACATGAGGAGGTCAGAAAGGGAAACAGAAGGCCCGTGGGGTGTGAAGTGGAAAAGGCAAACAACGTTGAAAACACTGCCTCACACAGATCACCCAACAAGCATCATGAGGTCTGGGGTTTAATCACGCACCTCCATACGTATGATAATATATATTATATATTTCGAATGTTTCAAAATATGAGTATCAATATCTTGAATTTTAAATAAGTACTAAAAAAGATATCTATAATAATTAACCAAAACATATTTTTTTAAAACAATTGAAGTCGTGAAAATATTTTGACAAACAATTGTAATACAAACAGTAGAATGCGTGACACGTATCATGGGATACACGATATATATACGGACACAACACGTTTAATCTTTATTTTCTGAAGTATCTCTGCACACCCCACATGTTCACCACTTGGACCATTCACCATTCCTTATTTTCTCATCCTACCTCTACCCTACAACCTTGCCCGCGTCAAATCACGTATGCCAAATTACCGATTCACGTTTCCCTGCTTCTCAACTTAGATTTCCCATATCTTTTTCCTTTTTAATTAATTTTGAAACCACCGATCATTTACATTAATTCTTCTTTTGATTGTAACATATAACATTTTTTATAAACTTTACTTGATTCAAAATATAAAATATTAAATGATTTTTATAATTTTTTTAATTATATCTCTTTTTATTTATTATATTTTTTAAATAATATATTGAAATTTTAATTATCCACCCATAAAATAGGATGAAATAAAAAATATTTTTTTAAAAAATTAAAATTATGACTAATATTTTTAAAAACCATAAATTAATTACCATTATTCTATACCAAATTGCCGATTCACGTTTCCTTTTTTCTCAACTTAGGTTTCCCACATCTTTTTCCTTTTTAATTAATTTTGAAAACTTTGATAATTCACATCTATACTTCTTCGGATCATAATATAAAGTATTTTTTATCAACTTTACTTGATTTAAAATATAAAATATTAGGTAATTTTTATTTTTTTTAAATTATATTCCTACTTCATTTATTATTATTTTTAAAAAAAATAATGGATTAAAATTTTAATTATCATCATTAAAGCATTCATAGGATATTTAATGAGGAAAAAATTTAAACGATATATTTTTTAAAAAAATTAAAATTTTTAAAAATTATGAATTAATTACCACTATTCAATATTTTTGCAGGAAGGGGGTATCTATTAACTCTGGCCATGAATACTATTCTTGGGGAAAATGACAAATAGGTTCAAAGAAAATTAATTAATTTAAGTCCTACCAAACTTAAAAAATTTTTAAGTTTGACTCTTAATTTTATAATTTTATTGAGATAAATTTATAATTTATATTATATTTCAAACTTTAATAAGGAAACCAAATTTATTTATTCTTCAACTATATGAAAATTTTAGAAATAAATTATAAATTCATTACAAATGAATTTATAAAATTGAGAACTAAACTTAAAAATTTATTAAATTTGATATTTTGAAGCTTAGTTTGAATTAATTAATTTTTTAAGGACCTCTTTATCATTTCACCCTATTCTTAAACAACAAGCAATAATAAAGGACCTGATTTTAATTCCATCTGCTAAAAAATGAAGGTTAATTATTTTATTTATAGTATATTTTTTTGATTTAAAAATGTAAAATATTTTTTGAGAAGTTAGATATTAAAATATATAAGACATTTTTAGTCTTTTAAAATATAATTATTACTTTTTTAAAATTTTTTTTATTGATAATAATTTTATATTTATTATAAGGTACTTAATAAAGATAAATATAAAAAAATAAAATTAATTTAAAAATAAATAATTATTTTATTAAAAAATAAAATTTTATTAAAAATATGTTATATTTTTAAATGAAAAGAGTATATGAAATTGGAGGCGCGCACACAGCTGACTTTTGGCAGTCCGTGAGTAAATGCCGTTTTCTGTCCCTTTAGAGTTTTGAGTTTGACCCATTCGGCCAAAAAATAAAAAATAAAAAGCAACTCTTTTACCCTCGGGTCAGCGATCCACGGTTCGTTTGAACTGCTATCACCCCCCCTTCATTTCTCTATTTATACACCTTTTCATATCTTCACTAGACAACGCCATTTCTGGACGCTTGTGCCCTGCGTTTCTCGGAGAAGAAGGAAACCTCATAAACTCTGCTTCACGGATACAACAACGGAAGCTGGATCGAGTTAAATGTACGTCATGGGAAGGCCACCTTGCTGCGACAAAATTGGGATCAAGAAGGGCCCTTGGACTCCCGAAGAAGACATCATCCTCGTCTCTTACATTCAAGAGCACGGACCTGGTAATTGGAGATCTGTTCCCACTAAAACAGGTCATTTTTCCCCCCTTACCTGGCCTTCTTTTCCTCTGTTCACTTGCTGCTATAGTCAAGACTGTCCGTCTTATCGATTTCGGCGTGAATTCCAGGTTTGATGAGATGCAGCAAGAGTTGCAGACTCCGATGGACCAACTATCTTCGTCCCGGTATTAAAAGAGGCAACTTCACTGATCACGAGGAAAAAATGATCATCCATCTCCAAGCTCTGCTCGGCAACAGGTACTAAATATATAATGCTTATTTGTGTGAATTTGGTGACGCGGGTATTTATAGAGGAATTGGGATTTCATTTCTGGGATGAACGATGCGCGCAGATGGGCTGCTATAGCTTCGTATCTTCCACAGAGGACGGACAATGACATCAAGAATTATTGGAACACCCATTTGAAGAAGAAGCTGAAAAGGCTCCACACTGGGACTGAGGGTGACGACCAAGAAGACGACTCGTTCTCGCAGCCCAAGGGCCAGTGGGAGAGAAGGCTTCAAACAGATATCCACATGGCCAAACAGGCTCTTTGCGAGGCTCTGTCTCTGGACAAGCCGATGACCGAAACCGATACCAAGCCCTCCGATTCCACGATCCAAACATCCCCTTATGCCTCAAGCACCGAAAACATAGCCCGATTGCTCCAGAACTGGATGAACCAATCCCCGAAGGACCCGACTCAACAAACAAGTTCACCGCCAGGAGCTCGCTTCATCAACACCGCCACGGCGGGTTCCAGTTCGTCCAGCGAAGCTGCGACGTATAATAGCAACAATAACAACCACGTTCTGGATTCTCTATGGAGCTTCAGCTCTAATGCTTCCCAACAATCCGTGTCTGCGGATGACAACACCACGAACAATAGCTTGTTCCAGGACGAAAGCAAGCTTAGCTCGGAGTCGCAGCTTCCTCTGACTCTGATCGAGAAGTGGCTTTTCGATGATGCGGTGGCTCAGAACCAGGAAGACCTAATCAATGAGTCGCTTCTGGAAGAAACTACTCCGCAGTTGTACTTCTAGAAGAAAACTTAAGCTTGAGCGAGGAATTATGCGTAGTGTCAGTCAAAATCACATCATTAAACCAGAGAACGAATATCCGATATCCTAAGAAAACCATTCCATGTAAGAGTGGCTCAAGCGGTGGCTTCTAGCTAGAGGTAGCCCCTTCGTTTTTCTTTCCCTTTGTCTTAGGTCACTCAACTTAGACTTTCGCTGGCCGGAGTAAGAAGAATGGAAGATGATATTTTCTTACTCTTCAAACAAACCAACCAACCAACCGAAGTGTACATTACAAGTTCCTGCTATATCATATCCTCAAATTTATGTACCAAAAAATCAGTTTTTACATATATACGTTCTCGTCTTCTTACAGCTGTATTGTATGGGGACATCAGTGAGTTCTTATCATATGTCTGTCAGTGTTTTTTGGTTTTTATTAATTTCCACAAGATATACGTATAGTATGTTTCGATGGAACTAAAGATCATCGCATAAGAAATCATAAATATCCGACGGTTATCACTTACCAGTGCCTCGCCATATAATCTTCATAGAGTTCAAAGCTTTCTGTTAAAAGGAGTTGCGCGGGTTAAGATTCAGTCTTTAGAGACTAAATTTGCTTCATAGAATAATAGATAAGACTAATAAAACAATAGTTTTCGAATGTAATAATAGCAATAAATGACACCTAACCAGAAAATGGACATGTGTATTGCGAGAGCACCTTCTTTAAATTTTGTAAATATATTGATATTAATATTGATAAAAGTTATTGCACAATAGATATAGCATATATCCCCACTATTAGTATTTTCAAGAGGTTAAATATTAAAAAATATAAAATATTTTAAGATGTAATTATTTTTTTAAAAAAATATTACTAGTAAATAAATAATTATATATTTATTTTAAAGTAAAATACTTAATTAAATATAAATAAATATAAAAGAATAATATTAATTCTAATATAAATAACTATTAGTGCGGACTTCTGTTAAAAATGGCTTATGAGGTACACGGCTAGGTGGTGAAAGAACAAGAAGTAGGATGACGTGAGGTATTGCTATAATGTCGGCCAGCAGTTATTTTGCTAAAGCTCGGAGTGTTTCTTTTTAAGAAAAAGTGTAATTCAAATCAAATACAAAATATTTTCAATTTCAAACAAATTAAAATAAGTAAATTTAAAAATTTAAAAAAATTTAAAATTATTGGTAACAAAATTTAGTTACAGGATAAGTAGTGGATAAAAAACTCATTTGGTTATATTTAATTTAAAAATATTCTACTTTAATAAGAGGACAGGTGGAATTTTTGCTGGGGATCTGTGGCAAACCAACAGAGTAAGAAGGTTTTGCCATGGCCTAAACCACAAAGTAGCGTATTTTTTCTCTTTTTGTTGATTCCCGGATCAACAAAGTAGAGTGGTACGAAGCACAATAAAAACTTAAAAAGTGAGACCACGTTGAAGGCTAAACCAACGCAAACGCGTGGCCATCGATGGTTGGATTAGACTTAGTAAGAGTGGAGGGCCCATGGGAGGACCTTTCGTCAAGGGCATTAATGGCAAAAACAGCTACTTGCAATGGATTGCTTCGTTGTATTTGGTTAAAAAAGGACTCCATTTAAATCATATATGAAAGTGAAGGTAAAAGTCCAGCATGATTTTATTTTGAGGGGAATCAAAATCCCAAGTTCACCATGGTTGTGTTCGGTCTTGGAGTGGTTATATCCTGATGATCATCATATCATGCCCATGAACGCATAACAAAGATTATATTATTGTTAATGAATGTCGTGGGTGAAGTGAAGCCACTGAGTTTGTGATCCAATTCAGACATGAAATGGGGAGGAAGGGAAAAAAGAAGCAGAGATTGGAGGGGCAGAGGTTGGGGAAGCAATGAAGGAATGATGAGAAGCAGAATTGGGGGAGATATGACTTACTATGAGGCTCAAAAAAGGACAAGAAGGAACATTGGGAATGTGAAAAGAAGAGAGAAGCACGTGATGGGGTTTGACTTTCGGAGGAGAGAATAGGAAATCCAGTGAAATGAGTTACCCAGGAGTGAGGAAGCTGCACGTTCACCAATGGCAGAAACTGGTCCAATTACACTTCCATTCTTCATTTTTGTCAAACCCGCCTCCCTCCGTATTCATTCAATCCATGCTCATTCAATTTTTCTTTCCTTTTCTCTTCCTGGAGATGCCAGATTATTTGTAATCTTTCATAAAATATATTTATTCAAATTTATTTATAAATCCCTTTTAATATGTTTAATTAAAATTAAGATAAATTTTAAAATTATCATAACTCTGTAAGTTTTAAACTTTTTGCCTTTGTTAAATATATATTACATCTATTAAAATTTATAAGATATTTTTAAACACAATCACACATGCCAATAAAAATCATTATCAAATATATCCTTTACAATTTTTTCTTTTTTAAAAAAATTTAAATTTTAAAAAAATCCTTCATTTAATACTTAATTTGTGAAAAAATATGAGAGGGAGAGAATATATAAGAAAGATAATATAGAAAAAATATTATTAATAAAAATTTATTTATGTCACAATATTTTATATTTTAAAATGTTAAAGTGTGTCTTGTAAATTAGGATGGATGAAGCATACTTTAATAATGTAATTTATATCACCAACATTTAAAGAGATGAAAGAAAAAAAATTATAATTAAAAGTCAATTACTTATCTTATAAATAGGATAAAAAATTGCTGTTCTTTACAATGTAAATAGGACATGGAAAAAGTAAAGGACTAAAAATACATTCTTCGAATGACAATCACTTATTCAAAGGATGAGGGTATTACTTTTTTTTAATATCACCCTGATCATGCTTATTTTATTATTTGAGTATAATTATCTTTTTTTAATGAGTATAATTATCTTTATTTTCACTACCTTCCATTTATAATTTATTTTCTTCTTGTTTGTGATCTCATTTTCTTTTTGAGTCAAGTGTGAATAATTCAAGAAAGCTTACATTAAACGTGACTAACATGAAAGTGAAGTATAAAACATTGCATATATTATATACAAATTTTTACTCTGCATCAGTCTCTACAATTCAAAATCATTGCATATCTGAAATTTTGATTTTATTTGAAAAGAAGCATTAACTAGTTTTGTAACATTTTATCCTTCTTTGATGAAAATAATAATAATACTAGCTAGGTGAAATGCTCAAATGATTATCCAGGGAGAACTTATAGTTGGTAAGCATAAAGGAGTGGGCAAATACAATCACACTTTGCTATATATAACTTAAGTTGTTCAGTAAGTTTCTTAACCTCTGCACACAACATGAAATAATAGTTATTTGGAAACGGAATTTGTAACACTTGATACATTTTTAAAACATAGAAAGGATGCTCACACATTTGGGTAGGTAACATATATGGAAGGATACTGTATGTGAATTGAAAAAGTAAGAAGATGGAACGCGAAGCAGTAATTAATGAAGGTGATTGAGATGAACTGAGGAAGAAAATGGGACGCATGAGAGAGACGGAGGAATGGGCATTGAAGCGCGTAGGATCAATGGTTCGTAGGGAATAACAATAATAATAAAGGGGGTTATAAATGGAGGGAAGCACAAGTGTGCAAGAGGAAGCAAGGGCTCGCTATCTAAGCCGGCGTGTATTGAATGAAGAGATGATAAAAGAGAATAAGCAGAACAAGTGGGCAAAGGAAGAGGAAGCTACAAGCCTCTCGTCCCATAGCAGACAAGACCGTGACCTCAAATCCCTCCAGCTTATACTCTTTAAATGATCTAACTTACAACCCTACCTACTACTCTTCTTCTTCTTCCCTTCCCACCACAATATCTATCAACTCTCTCCTTCCTTTATGTTATTGTATATTCCCAGATTCTTCTACGTCTCCATGCAGGGGCTTTACTTTATTCATTCATTCATTCATTCATATTTATGGCGACTTGGACCCTATGAATAGATCTCCCACTCATTTCTCTTCACAAAATCAAGCCAACTATGTATCTCCCTTCCTCCTCCTTTCTCTCCGTTTAATAATTTATTGGCTGATTAGTTAGCATTCTTTTTTTTTTAAAAAAAGAGCAGGGATAAGTAGATATCTGCGGATAGATAAGGTATGGTATAAGCAGGATAGGAAATGACTTTGCCTATCATTCTTGATAAGGTCTTTGGTGTCGTTATGGAACCTCAACCTTTCACAATTTACTCCTTCACCTTAGATTGTTGGGGAACCCGACCGCTGTATGCATTATGCACATTCATTCATGTTTACATTATTCGACTCGTCCTTGCATGTATCTCCAAATTTGATTCAAAGACAGTGGTGTAGCTTTTGATTAAGGGGCTTGAAATAGTTCTTTCAAGCCCGTGAAGATCTTAAGGGCCCAGTAAAATGAGCCCAAGTCATGAAAGCAAGATCCAGGCTGGTGGCCGCCAGAATAGAGAGCCCATTACGGTGGGTATACTTGCTTCGTAGCCCAGAATTCTTTCAGAGTAAGCGGCCAATGAAAGAGGCTATCTTGAATTGACAAAAAAAAAAAAAAGGAAGGCTGCTCTTGAAAATAAATGATTACATTGCATGTAATCTTTTTAGTGCTCATAGATATTTTTCTATTGAAGTTAATTATATTTAAGATACAATCAAACATTAAATGTAGATATATCTTTCAACAATAAGTCAAATCTTAATTCTTTACATTTTGAATAACTAATCCCTTCTATTAGACCTATTCCTTATTAGTGATTAGATTGTATGTAATTTTTTTTGTTTATGCAAATTAGAAACTTTTCTTTTGAGTTATATAGAAAATTTTTGAGTTATTAAATGGCATGTAATAAATTATATTTAATCAATGATGAGTCCTCAAACCTAACTCACAAAATTTTTTATTATATAAAATGATTTTTTTATGCCCATAATAACTATACAGAAGATGATATTACACTAACTAATTGATTATGAATTATCTTGTTATAAATTTTATATTTTATATTGATGCTTTATAAGAAACTATTAAAATGATAGGTTACAGATTGGCTATATTTTTAACATTTTATAATGATTAGACAATTATGTTTGAACAAATTTGTTTATCTTTAATTATTTTTTAGGTTATTTATAAAATATACAGTAACGAAGATTTTATTATGTACATGACTTAAAACTATTATTTTCAAAAAAATTAAATTTGAATAGTTCATTAACAAATGAAATTTAAAAAAAAAAAGAGATTTGAGACTGGAACATATTACTTGAAGTTTAAACAAATTTTACCTTGTGACCAAAATAACCGAGTCACTATATTGAACTTGTAAACTGATTTTTTCAAAATACTCAGAGAAAATTTAAGAAATGAGTCTCTACTATTTAAGTTAATAATTTATAACAAAATTTTTATATATCTACTCAATAAAAAATCTAGGTCAACTTCGTAATATCCCTTAAAAGGCGTATGCATTTGTATATAATTATCAAAGTATATATATATATATATATATTATTCACGTGTGGGTGTGTGTGTGTAACTTTCTCCGTAGTACATTGACAAGTCACCCTACTTATAGGGGGCAAAAAATATTCGATCATCGCTGATCATCAGCATTAGCAAATCTTCCCAATGGATAATTCTTGGTTCATAAAACGTTGCCTCACAACCTAATAATTAATTCTTGATGCTTCACATGTATAGTGTGCGGGGACAGAAATTGAAACAACTCTATGTGAGAATATTTAATTAAAAAAAATCGTAGCATGGGGTAATTGCCCTCCACAAATTCGTCCCTTATATTTTGATCAATTAGAAAATAAATAAGAACAAAGACATATTCTTTCCATTCAAAAAAGTTAAAAAAATTGAGAGCCTTCATATTAAAAAAATATAAGACATTTTTAATATTTTAATATATAATTATTGTGCTTTTTGAAAAAAAAACTTATAATAAATAAATTAATTTATACTTATTTTAAAGTAAAATATTTTATTAAATAAGAATAAATATAAAAAATAGTATTGTTTTAAAAATGATTAATTACTTTATTAAAAAATAAAATTTAATTAAAAATACTTTATATTTTTTAACGAAGGGATAATATAAGTTTAAGCTGAGAATATTTGAATCAAGAACTACAGGGACCCGCACTTTACCATACTCTGATGCACAATAAATATGTTTTCTTTCATACTCTTAGCGAGCTCGCTTCCATTCTAGCCTGAAACTAAAACGACGCGCACACTCATATTTACAAAGTATGCACATGACAAAAAATAATGCATGGTGGTGAGCTAATTATCACCGCCCTTCCAGTTAATATATATCTTGCAAAAGTATACACACCCACACAATAATTTTGTTCAATCAATAGTCGCTTCAAAGTTTGATAAAAGAAAGTAAAGTTGCATTTTGATTCGAACAGTTCGTAAAGCAGAGAATTAAAGTTGACGCTAAGATAATCAAGCACTAGCTAGCTAAAGGATGGATGTGACTAGTCAATGATTAAATCTTCGATATTTGCAAATCATCCAGTCAACCACTATCTGTTTTTCCCCCAGACTTGAATTAGAGTAAACAATTGAGGACTTGACACAACTCAATAGCAAGGTCTTTTAGCTTAATACGTGGATTATTGTTAAGCAATAATCCAGAAGAATTAATTAAATTAATAATGGGCAAACACCGAAAACCTTTCGGTCTTATGAAACATGATGGGTAAGATAGCATGTAAGTGGTGATTAATCATGGGGCTTTGACGCACATGCTGCTCTAGCCAGGGGAAAGAGACACTGTAACATGGAGAAAAGAGACGCATCGATCTCCAATCAAAGATATTTTTAGCAATTTCTCGGTCATACTAATAGAAATCCTCTCTGTATGGTGCCGTTCTGTCTACTACTAACTGAACTTTAGGGTCAGACATAGCTTTCCGCTTTGGATTTTTTCTCTTACAGATCCAATCAGCATTAACCTTATAAAGAGGATCCCTCGAGAAAAGATATTAAATAAAAAAATAATATATATATATATATATATGAAGAAAACAAAGAACTAAAGGGAGCATAAATTTATTACCAGATAGACCTCGCAAATTGGGTACGGTTGGTGAGAAGCAATGGGTCTCATCACATTTTCTTCCCAAATGACAATCATTGGTGCTTTGCAAAGACGAAATCAGTTCCATTCTTTGCCCAAAAAGTGGTTATTAGGTCGCTTACATTACAGCTATATATATTCATTGTTACCATCCACACACACAAATTTTTGAGGTTTAGTTAATACAATTTTTTTTTTTTCCAACGTAACATGCGCTTCATTTTTTCACGTGACAAATGTCTATTCCTTTGGCAGTCACCGACAAACCAACAAACTGATCAGAAAAATTGATGAGAAACCATAACTTCTTTCGCGTCTTTTAACTCCATAACTATAGGTCTGTGCTATTCGACTTCACCTAATAAACGGATTGTGACCTAGACGTACGCATGCACATGTGGCAGCCTTGGTTGGCGTTTACAATTATCACAAAGAATTTCTGTCTAAAATCAGCATATTGAAATTATAATGACAAGATCTTCTAGTAACTTCTTATAATAATAACAATAATAATAATAATAATAATAATAATACATAAGGTTTAATCAGGAGGGGACCGTCAATATGTAGTCTCAGTTGTACGATTGAAATGGGGCTATAGGCTCGCACGTAAGTGAAGATGATGTTTCAATATGTATTTACATTCGAGTGTGTGTATCTGTGTGTTGTGTGTGCATGTCGGAATGGGGGTACATAAAATGAGATGGAGAAAAATATGGGATGAGTGACCCCTACAATGAAAGAAGATAAACCACCACACATTTCCATGAGTACTTGCTCTTAGCCAAAAAGGAAGAATTGGTATACAGCCAAGCATCACAGCACATAGTTTCAACACCTTTATAAATTCTGCTGTTAGAAAACTGTACATAGTTCACATCTCAACGCTGGCACAACTTATGTATGCCATTGTGTCTTTCACCCCCCCCCCCAATTAATATACATCTATATAGCTGGCAAATTACTTTACACACGCAAGCGCGCGAGATTTTGCAGTTCCAGCTGCTTGACTATTAACTAAAGTCTGACCTACTTAATTAATTTTCAATATTCACTCTTTGTTTTTGAGTCCTATACGCTTGTAAATCTTAGTAGTTAATAGAATCAGATTCCCCATACAAGCTAGAAGGAATCATGCTCAGATCCAGGGTAATTTTTACTTTTCAAATGGAATTGTCTTGTTGAATTAAATAATATCAAAAGTGACGTGTGCGTTTATGATTGACAAGGACATGTGTCCTTGTCCTTAGTCACTTTCTCAAAGTGCACATGTTACTGCCCCCATTGTGTGCTTGTCCCTTTCTAGTTCCTTACTCTGATATAGTGATGGTGGAGGCTCCTTATGCCCGCTAGCTTGTGCATATATCAATCATGGCTTAATTGAAGAATCCATACCTTTCAACATCAACCTATAGTCTCAATCCTTTTTTATTCTTCCTCTGCTAATTCTTCTGAAAAATCTTAAAGCAGGCTGGCTCTGATGTGTAAAACACACATTTCTTTAACTCTCTTTTCTGTCTGTCTTGTAGTAGTTCCTCCCACGTTTTTGAAGGCCTGTGGTGAATGTGTCAGGTTCTATGCAGGTAAGGACATGCGTGTACCTTTCAGCAACTTCCCCGTATAGGAAATTATAGGGTTCTCGCCCTTCGTTTCTTTTCTAATAATAATGACTTAAAAAAGAAATGGCATCATGAAACATCTCAATATATATATGTGTCTCACAACATATCATGATTTTTATATAGTTAATTTGATGGGGGCATATGTATGTATGTATAAAAAAAGAGCATGAGAATGATGTTGAAATTTGGGAAGGTTGTGATTGTGCTTGATTTGATCCAAGGAAAGCTATAAGGGAAGATGGTGGTGATCGATATAAGAGTTGTGGGGAATGGTCGTATATTATTATTAGAATCTTAGGTAATTAGACAAGAGTTGTTGTCACAGTTGCAAGGGCCATAGCAAACCGCCTTTTCAGTGTCAGTTTGGACCCACTCCACTACCAGAATAATTAGCTTCCGCCATCGGTTGGTAACTCTCTACTTAAATAGTTTAATCGATGAGTTTGACGAGAAAAAGCAATACATGTCATCACCGTTCAATCGCTCCTCACTCTCGTTTATGCCTAATCTGCAGTACATATAATCTGATAGTTAATTACCACTTTGAAATGGTTTTCTATTTTTTATAATTACTGAAACTTTTGAGAAAGGTGAGCTATCAAATCGCAAAGACAATTCTTCGGTTGCTTAATTATAATGGTCAAGTGAGTAAAGACGTGCTATTTCCTTCGGTTTTCATTTCAAAAGTTTTGTCCGGTTTCCTCCTTCCCCCCAAAAAAAGGGGGGGGGGGGCTTTGCCTGGTTAAGGTATGGACCATGGAGACGTCTTTTATGCGCGCGCGCGCGCGCGCGTTCGGACGGGTTTTTTATAGTTTTCTTGGATTTTTGTTTATTCATCATTTAACATTCGTTTGGGCCCCTTTAGGTAGTGTTTACCAGACGATCTTTGATTTTTTTTTTTTTAGAAAACAATTTTATTCTTTAACTAAACAGAATAATTTATGGGCTCATTAATTATCGCAACATAAATACAATATCTTGAAAAGGTAGTTCCTATATCCTACCCCAACAGGAGTAAAAAGTTAGGCAAACCTGAGTAACCTTCTAAACTCTGCAATGATTTTCAGACTTGTTCCTTTCTGTGATTAGCATGAAAACAAAATAAAAGCACCACCACCCCTTGCGAGGAGGGGTGATGTGTTGTGCCATCATTGGCTGATTAAACAATACACACTTTTGGGGCAGTAAGTGATTTTTTGTCTCTGTGCCTGTCCTTTAGGTTGAACCATTGGAAACCAATTAAAAAGTTGGTAAAATAAGGCTGCTCAACAGCGCTGATGATCGTCATTCATCGGTTCCAAAAATCCTATTTAATTTCCATCCCCTTAGACCTAAAGCTTGAGCCTACAGGTATAGCTTCACCCCCCCAACCCTATATAAAGTTCCATGCTAGGGTTAGGGTTAGTCACCAAGCACTGACTTGGCTTTAAGCGTTTCTGGGGTCGTGGATGATTCCAGTGATCATCATTGGATTTAATCCAATCATCCATCACTGTTCATCTATTCTATCCGTACACAGGGGTTAAAGAACGATTATATTGTTGGGAATCGAGATGAAGAAGAGACAGGTGGTCGTGAAGAGGGATGTGGCCAAGACGTCGTCGTCGGTGATGAGGAACGTCAGATATTTGGAGTGTCAGAAGAATCACGCGGCCAACATAGGAGGCTACGCCGTGGATGGTTGCAGAGAGTTCATGGCCAGTGGTGATGACGTCACTGCCGGAGCTCTTACCTGTGCTGCTTGTGGCTGTCACAGGAATTTCCACAGAAGAGAAGTTCAGACCGAGGTTGTCTGTGAGTACTCTCCTCCTAATTCCGCTCGCTAAGCTTTAACCCCCTCCAAAACTGTACACCACAAATTAAACTATACATTATATTGTTGCCAAGGGTTTTGATTGGATTTGGGTCTCCAATTAACTGATTGATGAACCTTTTTCACTGGGTTCTTTGTAAGAGTGGATTGATTTAATTACCAACAGATCAGAGACATTGATTCTTGTACAACAGAAGATTTAAACTCTCAGGGTTTGTGTTTCTTTGAACATTAATTATTATTTGAGTGCTATCTCTCTTGTTCCTTTTCGCTGTTCTTCTCCGTCTTCCTCATACAGTCAGGCAGGAGAGGAATCAAGTCAGGTTATCAGATAAAAGAGAGAGAGTAATTAATTATTGCGATGGTCGAAAACTGATCAATTAAAAAAATCTTTTATATATACTTAGAACCTGGCTATCTGAATTTTTTATTCATTTCGCAGTTTATATTTGTGAAAGAAATCAAGGGTTGGGGCACAGAAACTATCCCGTGTTGGTTAATGTATTGTTGATCTCCATTTAAATTAATATGTGAGGTGTCTGATTCTGCCCGGGACGATGCTCATTAATGCTCTCTGATTGATGAATTGTGTGCGTGTGTGGCATTATGCAATCGAGCTTGTTCAGGTTATCTAATATATATATATATATATATATAAGTTATGTCGTTAATGCTCGTGAAAAGCCTTATGTATGAGCAATGTTTGTTAATCTCTGTAGGTTTTAGACTTGGTCAATTGTGGTCTTGATTATTCCAAAGTCCTTTTTTATGATTCTCTCCTACCTATGTTTTCATCTCATATTCCCAAGTGATCAACGGCTAAAGGCATTTAGGAATTTGAGGTCAATTGTATATGGAGAGAATAAAAAACAATGTCACAGAAGATTTGTTAATTATCTCGACCCTCTTCAATAACATTGTGTGGAAAGCCAAGTGGGGTTAAATATTCTTCCCTTGTTTTTGAACCGGATTTCTTCCCCCTCTTCAGTGGCAAGAAAACAAGTTGGGGCCTATATAGATGTGATGAAGATAATTATCCTTGTGCCAATCATTTAGCATTTGAAATATTATAACTCCTGGAAGGCCCACCTGTATCCAATCATGGAACGATATGTTATTTAAATATTACCGTATATTTTATATATATATATATATATATTAACTAAGTAAAGTTGACTGAGGACTTTGCAACGGAGTTAATATAGTGGGGAAGTGAAGTGACCAAACTTTCTTCTCTTTTTGGTGGTGTGGCCGGTGGCATTACTAAAATAATTATGAAAAGAAAAACTTAGTCATTAACTTAACAAAGAAGGAAAGAAAATAATCCATATGTTGCAAAGTGGCGTGCTGCCCTTCCATCTTGGCCTTGTTAGGGACATGGGCTCTTTTATTTTATAATTTGTTTGGTTACTTGTGCTAAATAAATTAATACACACACAAACTTTTATATATTGATTGTGAGGGTAAACCCAGTCTGACCTTAAAGTACTCTAAAATACAGATTTTGCGCCATTAAGAAGTCTGTAGGGAAAAATATATACAGAGCAAAAGAAGATAATTTAAATATTCAAGTAGTATATTGTAGATTGCAGAGAAATTCATGTATTTGTTTACAACTCCAAGAGGTCATGCAGGTTTAAGTATGAGAGAAATATTATATATAAAGCATCTTTTTATATATGCATATATATAAACTTTGTAGTTCAGTTTAATATATTGAAAGCGAAAAGACAAGAAAAAAGCTGCATCAGGTTCTGGCTTCTAAATGTGCACTTGTTGTCATTATGGAAGCTGGCTATATAAGGTCAGCTGATAGATTCGATATATGCACATACAACCCCTCTGTGTGCGTGCGTGTGAAATGCAATGTGGTGTTTAGAAAATGAACCTACTTATGGCCAAGCAAATATATTTGGATTTTCCATAGACATTTAGCAGGTATTAAGGCGTGCATTTAAAGAAAATAAAAAGAAAATTAAAAATTCTGTATGCTTTTTCATTCTCTTATACATTCTCAATGCAAGACATATTGCTACAAAAAGATCATATATAATTTGAGATCAAGGACCGCATGCATTGTATATGCTGTTTTTTTTTTTTTTTATACATTCCAGCAATTTGAGAGGGTGGTTTATAGAATTGCTTTCTCTCTGTGAGTATATAGCTCCAGGAAGACATGTGGCAATCACTAATTAGTTTGTGACAGAAAGCTTCATGAGGGTATTGTAATGGTAGATAGGGGGACCCTCTAGCGTGCAAAAGAAACTGATGATGAATGCACGTGAGGCCTTTACATGTCTGTGCTGCGTCGTCTGGGGAAGAGGAATGTGATTGCTTCTCTAAATTTCAGGCTAACTTGTTTCTATGTCACTGACTTCACAGGGCAAGCCTATCTATTACATGAAGGAAGCAATGATGACTACCAAATAAGCAGAACTTGATGATCCAGTATTCAAGGAGATTCGAGGTTTAATTTAGATGTTAGACTTTTTTGTTTCAGGTAGAAAACCTTAACGAAGTCCTCTATATTAACAAGAAGCAGCCAAACACACCTGCTAAATTTGTTCTCCCTCCCTCCCTCCCTCTGTGTACAAGGAAATTTTGGGGACTTAGAAGAAAAAGGAATCTGAAGGTATGATGTCTGTTTAGCATAATGAGAATGGGGACCTACTTTTGAAGAGTGTCTCTCTCAGAATTTGGATTGATCCCACCCAATTTTGTTTGATTCTCTCATCGGCTGCTGCTGCACGGAGATCCCATTATCATTACTATTAGTTAGTAGTGCTATGCTTACACACACACACACACACAGCACTCTGCAGGAGCAAGCAAGAAACAGGAAAATGTTACGTTAGGCTTTCATTTTTAAGATGCAATTTATGAATTAGACCACAAATATATACGGACCTTTTGGACCTGAGTTACGAACCTTTTTCCCGTGTTCTTTGCGTCCTTACTTCATGTTGTACATCACGGTCCTATATATATATATATATAGTTATAGCTATATGTGCATATGCATGCTCAAACTTCAAATCAGTGGTTTGATGGCAAAAGATTAATGTTAATGATATTAAGAAGAGAAAGCAGAAGTAGATATGAATGCTTGGCAAGTAGGTTGAGGGTTCCCTTCTCACTAGGGCACCAAGGCACATGACCTTGACCTCTAATTCACATGGACCTGCTCACAAAGTCTCCAAACCGAAATGTCCTCTCCAAATAGGGCCACCTCATTTGCACATCACCTTCTGTTGGATGCCAGCAAGCCACACACACATATTTGTATCTCCAACAATCCATCGTTACAATTCCCTCGCTAGCTAGTTTCCAACTACAAGCACTCTATATTCTTATTTCTTATATGTTTATAGGGGTTAAAAAGATATTAACATGGTCTGAGTCGCATGTGATCATTAACATCCATATCTTAATATTAAACCTGTAGGAAGTTATCTATAAGCTTGGAACAACACAGGCCACGTTCTTAGGTAATTTAACTATTTATTTATTAGTTTCACTTTTTGATTTTGGTCCGTGAAATTTTAGGAGTACTCTCTGAATATCGTTTCTAGCTAGACACATCTAATTCGGTTATAAATTAGCAATCTATTATATAAGATGCATACAAAATTATGTCGTTAGAAATAATTGTAGAGTTCCATGTATATATCTTTTTATACATTAGAGAAGCCGGTTTACTTGTATCTTAATCGGCCCGTTAACTGCCCAGTTTATTGATCAATAACAAACAGTGGTTCAACAAGAGCGAATCATAGTTCATAGGCTAACTTTAAAATCGTCAAAGTCTAAAGTGAGTTTATAGAATCGACAATTAATTCATTAATATTACTTTATATGCATTATTTAAATGCATTCAATGTCCCACACGTAACCTTAATGTGCTATCTTTTTCCCCGTGATATTTATTATTGCATGCACTCTCATGTAAGTAGATCAGAGTATTTTACAGGTTCAAACTCTATTATTCATTACTACACTCTTCCGGCCACATTTATAGGCTGGAGAGGATATTAAGCATTTTATTATTTTCTATATTTATATTTATTTTTTACTTTTATTAAATACTAAAAAAATTGTCTTTATTAAGGAGAAGAGGTGAAAGTGAAACCTATTAAGTTTTAAAATAGAGTTAATAAAATCTAAGATTTTTTATAGTTTCAGTGAAATATAATAAAAATGGATTATAAATAAAACTATATGAGTAATGCTATTATAAATATAGGTAGACTTTTTTTATGTATCATGTGAAATGTTAAAATGAATTATAGAACTTACAATTTGCGAATTACTTTTTTATTTTGAATTATAAGACATTTTTAATAAAAATTTAAAATTTTAAAATATAAGTATTTTGATAGAAATAAGGTTGATTAATTATGATTCTTCAATATTATCATTTTCATGTATATTCTCTCTTTTTAGTGTGCTTTCATAAATAATAAAGGAAATTTTTTGAAAATTTATATTTTTATTTTAACAAATAAAATTATAATGTATATTTAATGAGACTTATTGATAAGTGATATGTTATCCAAAACTGTCATATAATTTAAAAAGGATGGAGTACTAATTTATAAATATGGCCATAAAAATTCTTTAAAAAATAACTCATAATTATGATCAGGGAGGTATATGCTTACTATATTCTATCGATCTTATTATAAAATTTTTATTTAATTTATTGATTATTGATCATAAATGACATCACAAAGTGTTTGACAATTTCTTTCCATTCATTTCACTTTTCAATCAGTTGAGACAATACCAGCATAACTAATTAACTGTGAAAGAAAAGTGATTTATCTTGATGATGTAATAATTGTGTCCGTATGAAATCACAACGCGAAAGTTCCGGTCGAATGTCGCCTAAATGATGGTCCAACATGATAAATGATGCCGTTTTAATCACCCGAGAACAACAAGCTCAGATTTGGTGGGACTTTCGGATTTTTTTTTAAAATAAATGTCTCACATTATAAAATAATTTAAAATAAAATGATACATATCAATAAAATACAATAATAATACTTTATGAACTTATTTTTTCAAAACAAAATTATAAATTTTTAAAAATATTCCTGCACATTTAATCATTGTGTAATAATATCATTTTAATTATATCTCAATTTGGAGTGGAACACTAAAAAATATGATTAATAAATATTAGTTTTTTAGTTTTTTTATATTTTGGGACAATCAGATTTTTTTTAAAATTTTTTTATAATTTAGGATGGAAAGAGTAATAATTTTTGAGCCCATCCAACATATATTGAAGAGTAAGAAATTAATTAAACAATATGTAAACAGAAAAAATGTTTAGTTTTTTTAATAGATTGTTTACATTTCATCCCTGTGCTTTGTCCCTGTAAGAACCATTTCACTATTCCACGAGTACAGAAAAATAGTTAAAGTTTGATGCTTCTAAATTTGTCCAACTTTTTAACAAGTTTCCAGCCTTAAATGTCAAGTTTGTTAAATTACTGCTTTTGCAACTTATTTTCTTTTCACTTCACGCGTGTGTGGGGAAAAAAGTGTAAAGGCGGGAGGAAGTCAAAACAGAGGGCATAAGAGGAAAAATGATAAATGCTAGGAACAGATGAGAGAGGTTTTTATAATAAGGGAAAAGATAAATTTAAATCCTCACATTTTATTTAAATTTTACTATAAATTTTTATATTTTTTTAATACTTTAGGTATTTGTACTCTTATTTTTTAATATTTTAGGTTTTTTACCATTCATGAAGTAATGACTTGGAGTAATGTTTTCGACAAAATTTGAACCATAACAATTTTACTCAGATGGTTGAGCATCGCGAAATGTGAAGGGCAACAAATAACAGCCTTGACTATAAGATGGACTGAACACTGGCATTAATCGTTGATTAGTGTTAACACCAAACGATCACATCCACTGATCAATCAATTAATGTTATTAAATATAAATGAATAAGAAAAATAAAACTTGCATGAAATATAATGAATAAAGGAATTTATTGATCAAACTTCCTATAAGGCACGTGGTCATCCGGGCCTATCTCTTTAAACTTCAAAAAAGTAATTTCAATTTAAGCGAAGCATGAAAATATTATTGAAAGAACTGTAAGACAAACACGAGGAGTATGTCCGGAAAAAATATTTTTCAACTTATTTTATAATCTTCTGTGTTTTTGGACTAGTGACAACCACATGGAGTGCGCGCAACGCGCCCATGATATGAGTAGGGAATCACAATTCATTAATTGCAATTGGCTTTCCAATACTGGGCCGTGGTTCACAATACCAAGAGCTGGGATGATGAGACATAAACGCGCCCATCTGAAAAAGCCCATGGAAGGCCCACGTGAGGTGAAGCCCAGGAGGGTGGGAACAGAAGCTGTGGATCATTTCCCTATCCTTTCTCAACGCGCCACGTCGATCCTTGTATCTATGTCTCCATATGGGCTCGGGACCCGCTTATGATGTCAGGCCCACTTAGTTCCACCCTTGGGCCCCACTTTTCACTGTTCCCTCCCCCCACATGTGCCAGTGCTACTTTTCTGAGTTTCTCCGCCAATTTACTACCCTAGTTCCGTCTCCTCCCTCCTATTATTTTCACCTATTGCTAAGGGAAGCGCCAGTGCAATGTGTGTGTCTAGGTACTGCCTTGCCTTTTTATAGAGCTAAAAATTTAGACCAAATTCAATAGGTTAGTATGAACTTGTCTTAAAAAAATTTAGAATCAGATTTAATTATATAAATTTTTTTAAAAAGTATGATATTTTAAACTTGATTCGATTAAGTTCAACTCAAATTAAACTTGGTACAAATAAACTTGATTGTCAAAATTATCGATTCTATATATATATAGAGTATGTAATTTAGGGCAAACTTGAACCTGTCAAAAAAAAAAAGTCTAACTTAATTATATAAGCTTTTTAAAAAAGATATGATATTTTAAGTTTGATTTGAATAAGCTTAATTAGCCTGAATAACAAGATCTATTTTTTCATATAAAAAAATCTTATTCCTATTTACGTACATATATATAACCACTAAAATTAATTAAAATATATTTAAAACTAGTTTTTTCAAATATATTAATTGCATTTTTTAATCTATGTGCTAAATTCTGAAATAGTTTTTCCTAAAGTAACATAGAATTGGCAGCCTGTGAGTGAGTTTGATATTTCATAAACATTAAATAAAATCGATTCATATTGTTAAATCTTGTAAAGGCAGTCTCACTCAGTCCTAATGAAAGCAAACCATGCATCTCCAATTATAGAAGTCGATGTCTTCAAAATTTTAGGTGAGAAGATTAAAGAATTTAACCTTGCTTACTAGGAGTCTGTTATTGCGCATAGATGACAGCAAGCCGTCTCTTGGATCAAAGAAACAAATCATCTCTCTTCTCTCACCTAAACAATGAACATGCCCAACAATACGTTACCTTGCACATTGTTTTTCCCCTTTTCAAATGTTTGACATGTCGGTGACTTTCATATTTCAATAGACTAATTTGTCTTTTGAAGGCTACGGTGCTGGGGGCAAATTTGGAAAAATATAGCAACGTGGATGCCAACAAACTACACTTCATCATGCATATGATAAATATAATAATGACGAATGATGAATCCACTCACAGAATCCAAAACTCCAACCATCCAATCAACTTGCTCTCTCTCTATTTAAACCCCAAACGACCTTCGCATTTGAATCAAACCAAAGGAACGATCAAACTCTTCAACAAGAAGAGCCATATAACAAGTCGTGGCTATGCTTGTCCGTGCTTTGGTTTTAGCACTCCTTGCCATTTCCATGATCTCGTCTCGCGCCAGCAGCATGTTTTCACTCACATTTCATTTCTTTCGTGGGGTTTCTTTGGCTGCTAGTGTCTACTCATGCACGGTGGGCGCCTCTTTCT